GGTGAACGGAAGGAAATGACACTTTAGCAAATGGAAATTTGAGAGAATACTACTACAAGGATATATGAATCCTGTGGAGTAAAGCCGTGTTGGGAATGTAGAGCTCAGAACACTTGCAGGAATTATTCTCTTGTTTTTCCCCCTTCTACAGTTGTATTTCCACCTTGTAATCCAAGTATCTATTGGTACAATGGCTTCCTCTCTAAACTGTGAGTTCCTATGAACAGTAATCATGGCTTATTTATCTTCCTATGCCCACAGAGAGCCTCATAGTGCACTTTTCAGGAGGTTCTAGGCAGATATTTGTTAAATTTTAAAGAGAATACATTTTAAAGAGATATTTTAGACTAAGCACCAGAATAGTTAGTAGCCAAGAGATTTAGATTTCAGGAGAGCCCTTTGCTAGTGAACTTGAACTTTATATTCACAGGCAAGTCACTTTGACCTCTAAGTCTCAGTTCCTCATGGAAATGGAAGAAGCTGTCTTAGATGATTTCTAAGATAATTTATTATGTTTTTATTTGCCAGAGGGCATTCACACTCTCCAGAGAAAGAGAGTGGGAGAGAAAGATAGGTGGAGGAAAAAACACTCCTCAGTGGACCTGGTCACTCCACAATCCTTTATTCCTCCACCCTGTCAGGATTTGGGTCCTGTATAAACACATGCCTAGTTGTTTTTCAAGTCACAAAGCCTGTATCACATCATCAGCCATGTGGAATCTGGAGCCCTTAACCACCAAGCCACTGAGTCAGACCTCCAAGATAACTTTCAACATTTAACACTTTGGGGACCAGCAGTTAGCATAATGGCCATGTCACTGGACTCCCATGTAGTTGACCGTGGTTCGAGTCCTGGACCTGGTGGCTTAAACTCATGCCGGGCGCTTATGTATGCATGCTCAAGATCCCAAGAGGAGAATAGAGGAAAAGATTGTAGTGTGGCCATGCCCCCTGGGGGGTGATTTATTGCTTTCTGTCTCTCTGTCTCTGTCTTTCTGGTGAGCACACGTGCCCTATAGCAAAAACCTCTCCAAAAAAAAGAAAATACAAAACAAAACATATAACACTTTGGAGTAGAAAGTCTTACTTGCTTTTGAAAAATGTGAAATTATAAATCATAAATTTTTGTTATCGTATACTCTATAAATACAGTGAAAATGATTTAATGAATATATACAAATAAAATTGTCACTTATAATAATGAAATAATGAAGTAGCAAATAGTCCACCTAACCATGATTACTAATATCTTTTGGTTTTCTACTGTAAAAATAAAACTAAAACTTCAGCTACTTTCCTTTTTTTTTCTTTAAGAGAGAGATTTTTACTATAGAGTGCTTGAGCTCACTAGAGAGACAGAGAGAGACAAACAGACAGAAAGTGAGAAATCATCCCCGGCAGGGGGTGGGTGTGTGTGGGGGGTGATGGCCATGCCACACAATCCCTACTCCTCCATTCTCCTCTCAGGATCCTGAACATGCACGCACATGTGCCTAAAGTGAGTTTTAAGTTGCTTGGTCCAGGACTCGAACTGCAGTCAACCACATGGGAATCCAGTGACATAGCCATTATACCATCTGCTGGTCCCAAAACTTCAGCTGCTTTCATTGTTTGCAAATTACTTCCTTGGACTGAGTGATAATAACTTTTTCAAACATAGCAGTTCATCTTTTTTCACTAGGACAGTACTTTAAAATATCACTGAATTAAATTCCTAAAGTGTCTAATTTCTTTCTTTCTTCTGTTTTTTAAGAGAGATTTTTGCCATAGGGTGTGTGCACTCTCCAGAGAGACAGAGAGACAGAGAGCGAGAAATCACACCCTGGGGGTATGGCCACACTGTAATCCCTTCTCCTCCATTCTCTCAGGATTTGGGGCACGCACACAGGCATCTGTATGAGTTTTAAGCCACTGAGTCCAGGACTCGAACCGCGGTTGACTACATGGGACTCCAGAGATGTATCCATTATATCATCTGCTGGCTCCAAGTGTTCAATTACTTTCAAAGAAAAAGAAAAACGTATATTCAAGTAGAAGTTTTCTAAATATATAAGAATTTACTCATTACATTTACAAACTTGGTTGGCTCCTATCTAGTACATAAGTGATTCTGATAAATAGATAGTTCTTGATAGTTATGAATGAAATTTTATGTTTATTGCCCTTCCATGTATTTCTACACATTTGAATAATCTCAATATGTATGTCACTATGTAATCCAATTTAAGGGCATAAGACTCAGATGTAAGACTCATGTGAGAAGCATAGTGTTTAGAAAGAAGAATAAAGCTTCATTATTCACTAAGCTTTTCCTTAAATGCTAAATAAGAAGTCCATTTGTGAATGAAAAGAATTGTAATTAATAGATTTGAATCACTGTCACCATAAAATGCCTATCAAAATAATAGCTTGAAATTAACAGTGATAAAATAATCCAATTTATTGAACCAAGGTTCTTTAGAGATGGTGTTTAGTGACACTGGATTCTCTCTTCATGGAGCTGGTAAAAGTTTGCTATTCATAGGTTCAAGGCAATGGTCACTGGAGAGAGAATGCTGGCCATAAGGCTGGAAGGCTATTAGTTGGGTAGAGAAGACTGCTGAACAAGGTTTCCAGCCCTTATATCCAGACCCATTCAGCTGATAGTACTAGCCCCAAGCAACTGACCACCGAGAGTCTGACGGATGTGGAATCCAAAGCAATGGCCTTCAGCAATGGCGACTTCCACCTGGATCTTGATATATTTCAGAATCCATCAGGCTCTGCGTGGTGTAACTGGGACCCCAATGATCACTTCGTTTCTAAGTGAAAATCGTCAGGTTATTAAGGAGATCAGAAATCACTGGTCTCTCCTGTAACCCTAGAGAGTGCTCCAGGCACAAAGCAAAGGATATCATTGCTGGGAATTCCGGAAGTTTACTGCTATTCTGAGGACCTCAAGTCAATCTCGAATCCTCATGGTACCCTTCCTGAGAAAGTGAAGTTTGGGGACCACTGGGCCGGCCCTGCTTTCTGTATCACAGAAGGTAAAAGAGATGGAGCTGCACTAATTACACTAGAGTGGTTTTTCACTAGTGCATTCATTCATTAACCCCAAGAATGAGGGGTTGGGAGGGAGTCCCCTTATCATAGTAGTCCTAACCATTAGCAGGTAGTGCTTGGAAAGTCCTCAGAGTTTCCTCCTTCCTGCTTAGAGCTGATATTTAGAGGAAACAAAGAGGATGGAGAAAATGAGTAGCAGGGACAGTGCCAATGCCGATGGCGTACAAATACGCAACTTTTTCCCCTCAAAATGTATTTTTTTCCTACTAAAAGGGGTTTTGGTGAATGATGGTAAGTCAAGGCTTATGGCCATGAGTGGTTGTTTTAGAAGAGACAAGTGCAGATAAGGTTATTGATCATTTAATTTCCATTTAGGTGGGAGGAAAAAAGTGTAAGGATGAAATTTATTTATTTATATAGATATAAATATGTAGATATAGATATAGATATATAAAACGGAATTCCCTTTAAGAGTTAACACTTTCTCGTCCGGCCTTTCTAGCAAAGAAAGTTCCAGTGGGCCAGGATTAAGTGACAGATTGCGGGTGCTGACCCAGAAGCGCGCTCAGGAAAGGGGCGAGCCCGCCTTCCACACACAAAGCCGCAGAGTTCCCAGGCAGTCGGCGACCCTACCCAGGGGGCACCGCAGCGCCCAGGGCGCGGCGACGCGCCAGGAAGCTCCTGTGGCTCTCAAGCTGCCCAGCTTCTCTGCTGGTGGCCGGGAAAAGTTAGTCACCCAGAGCCCGAACCGGCGAGCAACTGAGTCTGAGGCAGGGGAATGGAAAGGGAGGAAGCTGGGTACCCGGGCGGGGGAAGGAAGGGAAAGCAGTGCGGGGGCGAGAGGACGCACAGGAGGCTTAGAGCCCTCGTTGGTGGATGGAATTGCGCGGTCTGCGAGTCGACAGCGCACCGGCGTACAAAGGGAGAAACTTGCGCTGGAACTTTCTACCGAGTCACAAGGAAAGCAGGCGAGACGGAGGCAGAAAGAGACTTGAAAAGTCTCAATAACTTTAATAACACATCAAAACATTCCTTCAGGAGATGAGGTAAGCCGAGGTTAGCCAACCCGGATTGGTTGTGAAATATTAGACAAACCCAGAGCCGCTGTGGCTTTAAATGAGGCCAAAGAGATCTTGGTGTTTTTCTTGCCCCAATACATTTCCCCCCCCCCTTCGCCCTTGCTCCCTCCCTCGTCCCTCCCTCCCCGGAGCCTGGTCCCGGTCCCTTCCTCCTTCCTGATCTCCCTTTCCTCGATCACCCTCCTCCTCCCCGTCTGCCCTCCCCCTTCTGATTAGGCGCGGACCGGGAAGGGTGGGAGTGGTGGGGGAAGCTCTCCCTTTAAGAGGCAGCGTGCAGTGACGAATTGTTGAAATTGCCATTGCAGGATGGCATGCCGCTATAAATTCATTGTTCCACCTCCTCGCATCTTCACAGCGCTCGCGCTGCTCTCTGCGCTCGCAGCGGCCGACTGGGGATGACGGCGGGCAGGACGACACCGCAGCCGGAGGAACACGGACGCGCAGCTTCACCAGCTCGCCGCAGGCCACCCCCTACGTTTTTGTTTTAATTGTCATGGCTTCCCCCGCTCTCTTTTTTCCCTTCCTTCTGGTTCCAGGAGAGCCAAGGAAACCCACAAAATAAGAAAGGAAGTGGGCCCCGAAGCTTGGAACCTCTGCAGCCGGCAAGCCTGAGCAGCGCGGGGTCGGGAGGCGGTGCGCACCAGTTGCCGGCCGGGTGCGCGGTATCCTTCTTACTTTTCTTGGTGCAGCAATTGTGATTGCATTTACATTTTTCTCTTTTCCGGTATTTGCTGAATCTCCACCACCTGGCTTTTTCTTTCGTCTTCCATCCCCCGGCCCCCTTCCAAAGCGCGAATCCAAACATTTTCCAAACCAACAAAGAAAAGTTCGCACGCTGGCACCGCCGCCAAGACAGGCTGGAGCAACTGCCGCGCCCCTCCCCCTCCTACCGACACTTGACTCAACCTTGCAAGCAAGTGTGTGTGTGCGCGCCCCCATCCGCCGCCCCGCTAACTTCCCTAGCGAATAACAAATACCCATAAAGTCCCCGACGCGCAGCCCCCCTCCCCCACCCCGCGGGCAGCGCACTATGCTGCTCGGGTGGGCGTCCCTGCTGCTGTGCGCGTTCCGCCTGTTCCTGGCCGCAGCCAGCCCCGGCGCGGCACCTGCCCAGGATAAAGCCGGGCAGCCTTGGGCTGCTGCAGCAGCCGCCCAGTCCCGCCAGCGGCAGGGGGAGGCGGCGCAGGAGCGGGCAGAGCCTACCAGCCATCCGCACCCCCTGGCACCGCAGCGCAGGAGCAGCGGGCTGGTGCAGAACATCGACCAACTCTACTCTGGAGGCGGCAAGGTGGGCTACCTCGTCTACGCTGGTGGCCGGAGGTTCCTCTTGGATCTGGAGCGGGATGGTTCGGTGGGCGCCGCTGGCTTAGTGCCCTTAGAAGGCGGACCGAGCGCGCCCTGGCGCCATCGCGGCCACTGCTTCTACAGGGGCACGGTGGACGGCAGTCCCCGTTCTTTGGCTGTCTTTGACCTCTGTGGGGGTCTCCATGGCTTCTTCGCAGTCAAGCACGCGCGCTACACCCTGAAGCCGCTCCTGCGCGGACCCTGGGCGGAGGCAGAGGCCGGGCACTTGTACGGGGATGGGTCCGCGCGGATCCCGCACATGTACACCCGGGAGGGCTTCAGCTTCGAGGCCCTTCCGCCGCGCGCCAGCTGCGAGACTCCCGCATCCCCTGCAGGGCTCAGCGAGCGCCTCTCGGCGCACAGCAGCCCTAGCCAACGAACAGCTCTGGCCTTGCAGTTGTCTGGCCAGTCCACGCTCTTGCCCTCCGGGAACCCAGGACCGCAGACGTGGTGGCGGCGGCGTCGCCGCTCCATCTCCAGAGCCCGCCAGGTGGAGCTGCTCCTGGTGGCTGACGCTTCCATGGCACGGATGTATGGCAAAGGGTTGCAGCATTACCTGATGACCCTGGCCTCCATAGCCAACAGGCTGTATAGCCACGCCAGCATTGAGAACCACATCCGCCTGGCCGTGGTGAAGGTGGTGGTGTTGGGCGACAAGGACAAGAGCCTGGAGGTGAGCAAGAATGCAGCCACCACCCTCAAGAACTTTTGCAAGTGGCAGCACCAACACAACCAACTGGGAGATGACCATGAGGAGCACTACGACGCGGCCATCCTGTTTACTCGAGAGGTAGGTTCTTCAGAGCAGGTTGTCCTAGTGTTGAGACAGGAAGGTAGGTGAAGGGACAGTCAAGCTCATGGCTTTGCTTCTCCCACAAGTTGTCCATCACTATTGATTTGCTTAACTGCTTCTTGCAGGAAACCCAGGCGGCCTCCAGTGCAGGTCTTGTATGCAGATTAACCCCAGCAGCAATTCCTTCTTTAAATAACTAGACCTGCTTAGGCTTGCAGCCAGCAATTAATAATGCTGGATGTCACCCAGTGTGAGAGATGGTGGCAGAGGTGCATAAACATAAGACACTAGAATGTTTGGGAAAATGTACATAGTTAAGTGGGAAAAAGAGAAACCAAGATTGCCTTTGGAATCATAGGCCTCCTGTTCCCTAATGAAACAAAAATATATGACTTTTGTCCAGTCTGATGAAAGGGGTTTGATGGTTCATCCATGGGAGTCACTTTTAGCTGATGACCTTTCTATAAACCATACCTGCTTATTTCAGTCCCTTCTGCAATGCAGGTGGGAGGAAGACTTTGCAAAGGACTCCTTTTCCCATTCAACTTCTGGTGGAGTTCTCTGCCCACCTTGGAATCTAAGTTGCTGGGAAAGAAGAAATAGGAGAGGGCCAGGATGTAGAAACCCAATCAGCAGTGGGACCAACGTGTGAGGTTCTTTGGAAGTCCTTTCCTAGTGGATCTGTGCATGACAAGCACTGCCCATGCCAGCTCAACTGCCAACAAAGGGTCACATCCAGTTCACATGTTTGGATTGGGGGTGAATCTGTTTCTGAAACCCCAGAGTAGGAGATCTGGGCAAAGAGTCAAGACTTGAGGAAGGAATGTTTTCCCAGGAGTTCCCCCTTTTAAGGAAGATGGTTACAGGAAAGGAAAGAAATGGATCCTATAGGCCCAGAGGCTCTGGGAAGAACACAATATCTATTTACAGAATCATTAGACCACCAAGTTAGTGTGACATTCAGACAAGAAGTCTGGGTTAGTTTGGGGTCTGTCTTGTGCATAACTCTGAAACTCAGTTTTCACAACTCTACTCAGATTGGCATTTTTACATCATGCCTTTCAGATGCCAGGTAAGAATTGACGTACAAATAAGTGTTTGAGATCCATCTAGGATAAATTAAGCATTCCTGATTTTGAAGTATTGTGTAAAATAATTTTATGATATGGAACAGAGGATAGGAAATTAAATGAGAGGTCACAGGAGACTTTGGAATGCACAGCTTCACGACCTAAGTTCTATTTTTAGAAGGCACTGTTGGTATGAAAGTAAAGTGTTGGTAAATTTGGAGTAGAGAAACACTTGTGGTTAATGAGGCGACGTGAATGTGAGCCACTGGTAAACAAAGGCCCTGGAGGGCAGCAGGTAAAAGAGAGCAGGCCGGACTGAGCGCTGTGCACAGTGGAAACACTCCCTTGCTAAGTGATCTTCTGGAAGCCACCCTTTACTTTCTTGGTACAGCATTAGTCTTTGAAACAGTAGAACACTCATTTTCTAGCCTTCCCTATGAAGTAAAGTTCTCCTGTAAAACTATTCCTTTCTTACTTGCTTTCCAAGTTCCTTTTTTTTTTTTTTTTCTTTTTTGGTAAGCAACTTTCCATGTCTGGGTTTCCTTGCTTTGCTACATTTTAATAGGCTGCCAAGAAGAGGCTTTGGAGAGTTTATGGAAGGAGGCTCTCTAAAAAAAGAGGAAAAAATAATTTTGTAGGCAGACTGCTCCAAAGAGTAGGTCATTTTAATAGTTAGCCTTTATTTTTGAATATAAATGCCACATTCCTTAACTTTAAAATAAATAAAAATTAATAGAAGGCCCATTACTCCCTACTGCCTGCTGCTGCCCCCTGATTTTCCAACTAGTTTAATAAAAGAAAGGAAGGAAGGAAGGGCGGAAGAAAGAAACTGGCCTGTGATTCTAAATGATCGTTTGATTGCTTTTGTTGAATTGATTGATTGTATAGTTAATGGTTCCTATTTTCCAAATTCTGAAGCTTGTCAGCACCTTTTTAGATAAATAAAAAGCAAAGGAGAAATAAATTGATAGTCTATCATAATTTTAATAAGTACTATAATAAAATACATTTTTCAAAGCAGTCTACACATGGAAGATATTTTATATAGGCCCTCCTCAGCCTCTTTGCCAAGCAGAAGCATACTTTTAGTCAAACAATCTCATTGAGTTTGTGGTTAGCCCTTCTAGTAAATACATTTAACTTAACAAGAACCAAATATTTTAAAAGCATGTGTATTATGAATATATGTACCTAATTTTAAAGAGTGCTATTAATTAGTGAACTAAAAAAACTCAAGTCCCTCCTGCAGCATTCATTTGAAAGTACTTCAAAATGTATAGCTAATCTCTGCATAATACTTCAAAAAGCGAGAAAAAAGGCTGGAAGAGAAAGGATCTGAGCTTTTCTATCTCATGGAACTTGGATAACTCAAAGCCTAGAGAAAAACTTTCATGACTGTTTTTTTCTTCTCTTTTCTTTTCTTTCTTTCTTTTTTTTTTTTTTTTTTTTTTTATGAGAAATACCTAGAATTGGCACCAGGAGTCTACTTTTACAACTCTGTTTTGAATGTAAGAAGTACGTTGCTTAGCAGCCAGACGCCGAGCCATCAAATCCATGTTTTGATGGGCTCTGAGTCCTGTTCAGATTTTTGTCCAGATGTCTTCTCCTGAACTGCTTGTTTTTCAGGCATGAAGCAAATGTGTGAGGATGTTTTCCACCCCTGTTTACTAACTGAGGCCACTATGGACATGTGTCTGAGAGGCCACAGATTAGTGCTAGGAATTCATCTGTCAAACTAAAGCATTCACTGGCAGGACTGTGCCCTGCACTCTAACATTGTCCTCATTAGAAAAACTCAGCACCAGTCAGTTTTCTGGCAGAGAAGCTGCTTTCATTCTGGAATGTCACTTAGGCTGGAATTCATACTACTGCTGCCATCAAACAGCAGAAATCTGATCTTCCCAGGACTTCTGGTTGGGCTCCAGAATCCTTTCCTTGTTCCTGACTTCCTCTTTTATTTAAATAGAAAGTTTAAAAACAATCTCTTAAACCCATTTTGTAGACCATTCACTGTTCCTTAGAAGCAAAAACCTTGATAACAAAATTAGGAGTTGTTTAACATTCCCCCACCCCTGCACAGCACCAATGAAAGCCTTATTCTTCCATGTATTGAAAGCATTGGATTGAAATTGAACCAGCGAAGAGATTGTGCGATATAAGAGTTTCATTCACTTTCATTAATCTTCAATGTGCTACTTAATAGCCTATTTTCTCTCAACTAAAAACTCTCTTCTGCCATCTACCCTATGATGCTGGAGCTGAGACTCTACATACAGACTTCACCACTGGCCTCCTTGTTAGTTTTTGCAATAGGGAGCACTAGAGATCTGAAACTTGGAAAAAGTAGGATGTGTTTTTATTACTGGCTAGCCAACCATACTAATTCACAGTACTTGAGTTCAAATCTCATTTAAAGTCGAAAGTGAACTCTTATCAAGGAATCATAGACTACAGCTCAGTACTAATGAGTAAATGGTTAAATGTAATAACTCATTAATGTGGTGACTGGGACATGGTAGGCAGCTCTAATTGAAACTAAATTGTAGAGATTATTCTGAAAAATCTAAAATCAACCAAAGCAAGTACTCCACAGCACACGGGATCTTCTGCATTGTTGTTCCTCACGTTCAGTGCACACGTATGTGCACCTCCCATGTGAGATACTCACTTAGACGGCTGAAGGTAACAAGAGGGAAAAGGCCTGCTCCCTGCCCACTGCACCATCATTAGCAGAGAGGAAGCAGAGAGATACATAAATCACTGTAGTGTTAGGAAAACTGATAAATGCTGTCACTGAGCTATAAACAAAATCTATGAAAGGAAAGGGAAGGGAACAATTAATTCTGCCTGTGGAAAGTTATACAGTTCTTAACGGCAAATAGAGAACTGAATTGGTCCTCAAAAGAGAGATTTGATTTGGGTTCAACCAACTGTAACTGACCATTTCTAAAATACTATCCAGGGCTACAAAACATTTCTTAATTAATCCTTTCAAAAATGCACAAATTTGGGGCCAGCAGTTAGCATAATGGCTATGTCACTGGACTCCCATGTAGTTGACCACGGTTCGAGTCCCGGACCTGGTGGCTTAAAACTCACGCTAGGTGCATGTGCATGCGTGCCCAAGATCCCAAGAGGAGAAAGGAGGAGAAGGGATTGTGGCATGGCCATCTCCCTAGGGGGTGATTTCTCACTTTCTGTCTCTCTGTCTCTCTCTGTCTGTCTGGCGAGAGCACGCACCCTATAGCAGAAACCTCTAAAAAAAAAATGCAACTTTAGTGTCATTATTTTCACTTAAGAGATGAAGACATTCTTATAAAGAGAAACAGGTAATTTTCTTAGAGTAACACCTGACAAATGACTGGACGAGAAAATAGTTCTGTTTAGTCCTCTCTGAACTAAAAATATTACAACTAATTTATTTAAACATTTAGCATGCTCTGTATAGGTGAGAAGGATTCAGAGGTTTAAAAAGGGACCCTTTCCTAAGAGTCTATTCCTAGAGAAGGATATGAGTAATTAATGCATAACACGGTGACTTCGATGATAGATACGGCTGTAAGATGTATGGAAGTACTTATAAAGGTTGCTGAATGCATCTGAATCTAGTTTTGAAGAAAAAGTGGGATTAGCCAGACCCATAAGGAGGGGATGGGTATTATAGAGACACCAAACCATGAGCACAGTGGCCCCAATTCAGCATGGTGATTCTGTGAGAAGTAGGGGGTTAGCTGATACAGCAGGTACAATGAGGGTGGAATGATAATAGAGTAGTCTGGAGAAGACAGTAACAACCAGATCATAAAAGCAATTGTATATCTTATGTATTAGTCTGGGCTACCCTCACAACATACCAAGGTCAAAGTTCCAGCCAATTCAGTTTCTGATGAGAGCTCTTTTCCTGGCTTAGAAGCCACCTTCTCACTG